CCCCTACAAACGCCTCTGTTTCGTGCTTAGATGATTTTTGAAGAAGGCAATGGAGGAAAGGGTCTGTCATTTTCATTCATATTTGCATGGCTTAAATAAGCCAGTTTACAACCATAAATCTCATTTTTCTCGTGCAAGTGATAGGCTTGCAATTGAATTCAAATTCTACCCTATCCAATTATAATTAAATTCAAAAGCTGATAAAAATAAATTTTAACTGATTCTAAATAATCTAACAGTAATGATCTATGGGTCACACCGAATACTTGTACACTTTCCATCTCCTATAAGCTTACAACATCTTTTCCGAAGTAGTTGTCTACCTTTGAGGATGCCTCATCATAACAGGGAATCTCCTTGCTTCTACCTCAAGTGGAGTTGGGAAGGCATTTATCTTTGGCATATTCATCACCAATGGGCTCTATCTACGACTTCCCATTAAACTAGCCTTACCATCAATTGAAGAACCATGTTGTAGTTAGAAGAAAAAGTAGGCATATTATCAAAACCAAGCAATAAGCCAAGGAGGCTAAGCGCAATATTGCATAGATCATAGGGGCAATAGTTGGGTAAGGTCGAGTTCAACTTTGACTCGAAGATAGTCCACCCACAAATCAATATCCTCTTGTTGATTGATGTCTACTATGTTCCCTAGTATGCTGACAATTTAGATCACATTCTACGAGCTTAACATGCCAAAAGGCAATCCTCTAATCCTTAACCATGAGGCTCATATGTTGAGATCTATGTCATCAAGCATTATATCAACATCACATGCTTTCAGCACCAAAGCTAAGCCTCAAATATTCATATTTCCTGTGACAAAATGCTTCCTTCATGTTAAGCTTTTTCAAAAATGAATAAAAAGGTGTTGTGAGCTAAAACATTAACATTATTCACCTTGATGGATTGCCATATACTATGGACTATTTGTTAAAAGGATTTTGTGAAAGTGTTTGAGCTAATATTAGTTTACCTACCACTGCCTTAGTCCATTAATTTTCTTCCGAAGCTTTAAGGCTGGTAAGTTCTATGTCTCCACATGACATCTTACTAGTTTGGAGGGTGAATTATTCTAGCTCCTTCAACAGACTGTCCATGGTATTAGGTCAAGGTCAATAAAAAGGTTTCCTATTAGCTTCAATCTGTACTACTAGAAACTGACAATTTATCTGGTCTTGCAAAATCATTCTCTGTGATTTTTGACTTGAAATAAGGGTTGAGTTTTTAGAAGTGTTTAGGGATGGGAATCACTATTGCTCTGAGGATTAAAATCATCTCTCTAGTTTTTGCAGAACTATGTGCCAATAGTAGTGGAAGGGAAGCTCCACTGGAGAACAAAGAGCTCCATGTAGGAGAGCATTGAAAGGGTGAATTGAATTTTCCTTTTATCATTCTTATATTTCTTTCAAATGTCAATATGAGACAATGGTAATCTTTATATCATCAAACAAGTCGTAGCATTACTTGAGTCATCTACAAAGTTGTTGAGAGACTTCAATTATTTAAGAGTAAGCAAACATTTTATATCAAAAAACATAATTTATATTCTCCAAAACTTCATTCTTTAAAAAAAAAAAGAAAAAAAGTACATTAATATGACTTACCAAGCAAAATGCAGGCTCTGTGTTGCAGCTCCATCTAGAAGTAGGGACACAAGATAAATAATGGCACCAAGAGCAATGATCATTTGCATCAACACCTCGAAAGAGCATAATCAGGGCGACGGTCAACCTATAGATAAAAAAGTTAGCACGAATCTTAAGTTAAAAATATAAAGTAGATACTATTATAGTTTGTCTCACTTGTGAGTAAATTATAACATAAGTTAGGATTAGAACTAAATCGTTAGATATTATAATGCGGTTGGCACACTTTACTTTTTGTCTTGATAACTTTTGAAATAAACATAAAATTAATCAATCGTATTGATAGGACTTACCAACTCATCTATATTCTTAAAATAACTTATTATTACTTCTCATTTATGAAAATAAAGCACCAAATATAAGTGCTTACAGATTATAACAATATATTTAAAGCACACAAAACATTGAAATATATCTAAGACAACGTTCACGTATGTTTTTGCGTCATGTGCCTTGTAAAGTGAAGAGTTTCACTTTGTGAAGATTAAGATTTTAAATTACTTTGAGATTAACATAAAAGATCCAATCTGTTTTCAAGTAAAAGTTTGACTTCCTATGCATCTGTATATTTAATTCACATCTAACTCCTACATCTAAAGCATTATTCCTCTATCCAAATCAAGTAAATTTAAAGAATCCCAAGAACACTAAGAAGACAAAAATCAAATTATCTTACCCAACAATCAAAAGAATGAGAGAAGAAATCCACAAGATGCACTGATAAAGCTTGAATTTGGATTGAATTGAAGTTTGAGGAGAAGAAGAATGTGTTTGACTAATCCATCCAAAGTGAGGGCGGATCAAAAACACAAATCCAAGAAGAAACCCAGTTAAAAATCCTCCAATGTGAGCAAAATTGTCAACGTGTGGCAGGATTCCCACTGCTAAATTAATTGCAATGATGATTAGGAGAGTCAAGAAAAATGCAACCTGAAACATCCACAAAAAACACCACAATACAATCTATTAGATTATATATATATATATATATATTTATGTTATATATTTTGATTCTAATAATATTTTATCTATATTCTAAAAAAATATTTTGTATATATTATGTAAAATATTTTACGAGAAAAATTCTTATAATTTTTATACATAAGGGTCTCTAATTCTATTGGTGACATAAATCAAATGTAAAAAAGTTTTTTTTTTTTTTTTATTTTGGCGGCAAAATGTGTATACTTGTCGAACGACGTTAAATTTTATATATATTTTTTTATTTTATATTTTATTTTGTGTGATTGTGTACATATTGAGAACTTATTTTTCTAACAATATATATATATATATTAGATAAGAGCAGGTAATGAAATAAAATCAGCTCTAATTGTGTATTAGATTCGGATCCAAAATCATATAATGTTGAAAGAAGAATTACCCAACGTGTATATAAATCAGTATAGTATTACTATATGGTTATCATGATTAATATAATAAAATGAAACAAAATATTTTTTGACACAATATGTAAAGAAGAGTAAGTACCTTATTAGAATATATTGTCCAATTAATAATGAGTTCAGAAAGCATGCTTCCAAGTAAACCAAAGAGTGCACCAGAAGCACCAACAGAGATATTTGATTGTAGAAAAAGAGCTGATAATAAACTCCCACCAAGCCCAGAAATGATATACAACAATCCAATTCGTACTGTAATTAGGAATAAAACAAGGGTATTAACATTCTCTTAACACTAATTACTAATTTCTTATAACAATAATTATCAATTTACTTCTTAATCTAAAATTTTCTCTTCTTACAATTTTCTCTCTGTACTTACAAAATTGTTCCGAATCGTTATTTTTTTTAATGAAAGAAAATAGCAAAATTTTCATGTATAACTTGAGCAAAACATAAAAAATTACTATAATATTTCTATTTATGACATAAAATTAAAACTAAACTCATATAATAAATGATGATCTTAAAAACATATACTCTTAATACTATTTTGTAATATCATTCTATGATTTCAGAAAGAATTTATTGATCAGTGCATAAATACTTAATGATAATTATTTTTATTAAATTTTTTTTAAAATTATTATAATTTTTAAATTTTATTCAAAATAAACATGATTAGAATAAAAAATTTGTCATCGACTAATAAAATTTTTGCAATTTTATTTTTTAAAAAATTAATTAAAAATTTAATAATTAAATTTAAAAAAAAAAATAAATCTTACCGTCTAATTAATAATTCGAGTACTAAAATAAAGTTCGAGATACGTACCAAATCCGAATTCACATTCAAGCCGAATCCCGATAGCTAAAAGACTCAACATATTTGCGAGTATGTGAAAAACACCTCCATGTAACCAATTACAACTCGCAAGCCGCCAACCTTGGTGTCTCTCTACCACTCTCTTTACATCAAGTGCTCCCATCTTAAGTAGCCTAATTAATTAATTTAATCATTCAGATTATTACTTAATTAACTTCATTAATCATTCAGATTATTACTTAATTAATTTAATTGAATCAGATAAAATAATTTGTAACATTCATTAAATTCCACAAATTCTATTTTCCCTCGAGAGTGATTTAGAACGCTAGAGGGGGGAAAACAATGGAAGAAGGAGAAGGAGAACTTACGTGTCGGAGGTCGGACCGAGAAGAGGATTCTCCTTGAAGGGCTGGAAAGAGAATCTGCCGAGGAAAGTAGCGATGCAAGAGGATGAATGTTTTGGACAATTGTTCTGATACATGGTGATGATGAAGACGATAAGATTCGCAGAGACGAAAACAGGTATTAACCAACACATCCATTTCTTAAATTGCTTGATTTCCGCAGGAGGATGAGGAGGAGCTTCCATATCGACTGGATGAACGACATGGTTGCTTCTTCTCGAATTCGCCATTTTCGGAGTCTCCGTTAGCACTCAACTGCGATTGGAAAAGGTCAAAATTATTCGAACTGGTTTTTTTCTTTCCTTTTTATGTTTTTGTCAAGTTTTGAATCGGAGCTTGAGTTCAAAATAGTGTGACGAAAGGGAAAGAGTAGGCCAACTGAGTCAAACATTTGAACAACTATTGGCTGTTTGGATTAGGTAGTTTCTCTTTTTCGCACGCAATATAATATACATACATAAATTTATATAGATATGTATGTGTAGCTCATTGGAAAATATTGGAAAACTATATTCAAAATTTAACTAGATTTTTTAACATATTAGGTATCCATGTGCTATTTTTTAATAGCAATTTAACTACCTCCATCTGGAGGTTGGATCTATCAGAGTACCTTGTATTCTCTCATATCGCGTTCGAATCAAAGAAGTAATTTAACTACCAATAATTCGGTATTTTATAAATCAAGTCTTAGCATTGCATTTGAAGTTGATGAGGTAGAACTTCATTAATAATATAGAACTCACCACTTTATGGGTATGTTATCGGTTGATAGTTCTTAAATTATGATATTTGACTCAATAAGTTTAAGATTTAGTTTATTAACGTGTTAGTTGAACTGCAGCGACCAAGAAATACTACCGATCTAGGAGATTCCAACTTTATCTTCCAAGGGCTAATAACTGGTGTGGATTTTTGGTGTAAATATGCGCTATTTGGTGAACTATCTTTCCATTCTTATGAGCTGTTGTGGATTAGAGTTTATGGGAACATTGCTTATGAGGAAGACTATTTTGGACAAGTATGGGATAAGGGTATGAGAGTATAAGCTGAGGGGAGTTATAATATGAGGATTGTGTTTTGAAGAGTATAGATGATATATTGGAGTTTGGGTTGTAGCCTGGGAGTATGAAGTGGTTGTGTGGAGGGCTTTTGAGATGAGTTCCCTGCATTCGTAATTTGTACTTCATTTTCCCCTTTCTTATTTTGATTGATCCTGTAGCTCGCTTGGTGTTGATCAAGCATGCTTTTGAGGAAATTATAATCAATCAGTCTTCCTGCTTTAACAGCATCCTCCACATTTTTCTAATGTGCACAATATCTGTGAATGAGAAATTAAGATGACCAAGTAACTTATCTGCATGCACTGCTTTCAAAGTTTTCGTAAAAAAGGTATTCGTTTCTTTCTATATCGGAGGGGTTCTACAAGCGAATCTCCATCTAGTGGCATACTCTTTGAAGGTCTTTGAATTCTTTTTCTCCGTTCTCTGAAATTCTTCTCTAATAGAGCTAGCTCAACATGGTACCAATACTAGAACAAGAACACGCCACTACCAAATCTTCCTAGGTCCTGACTTGGGTTACCTCTAATGTGAAGAGCCATTTTTCTGCCTTCCCAGTGAGGCTTTGCTCGAAATAATGAATTAGTAGTTGTTGATTCTAAGAGTACTTTATCATTTTCAGACTGTAGCTTTTCAAATGAGCTCTAGGATAAACAGTCTCATTATATCTCGCGAACTCAAGTATTTTAACTTTTTCGGGAACGTCCATTCCCAATAGCTAGTCCTGTTAAGATTCATATGTTTAATAATCTTTTCTTTTCTTTATTCTTGTTTTTCCATCTTTTTGCTACAATCTCTTTGAAATAACGTAAAAATTAATTGTGCTTTGTTTATTTAATTGTATAGTAAATCGTTCAGTACCAGTAAAAAAGAAAACTCTGGTAAATAACTTGAACATATCGAATAGTTGTTATGTTATAAAAAAGAATAACATCTTATATATATAACTGTGGTGATATGATATTTCCCTTCCAAGAATGTATGAACTAAAAGGTTATTATCTTTTGAGCTGTACCCTTAAAAGAAATTATGCCAACATTCCTAAGAGACACTCTCTGTGTTAGCTGTGGAAGGCTCTGGCAATCCAGACTCAACCTGCGTCTCAGAAATTTCTGGTGCCGAAGGTTGCTCAGGTAGTGGAGATTCGGATTCAGTCGTGGCAGGCCCAACCGTTGCTTGGATGCTTTCTGGGGGCGTAAACTTTGTCGATGTAATAAGTAAGAGATGGACCAGTGTACTCAATTGTTTGTGTTTGAGGTGGGTTTTTGCCAACTTGGAGAAGTATCGACGAAGCTCCAGCGACAAAAATGAGTGCAAGACCGGCAGCTATTGCAGCCGTATTCTCGGCACCTTCAGAAGAAGAACCTGCACTTCCAGAGCTTATAGCACTCTCTGCTATATAAACTGCAGGCTGCAAAATTTAAAATTTGGAAAGGCTTTTTTTAAGATAGAAAGTTTGAACAGCCAATATTCTTCAAAGGAAATATCCATTAGGAATCAATTTATTAGCATCTGTAATGCTTTAATCTAGAAGGTATTTGAGTATCTGAAAAAAAAAAAAAGAAAGGCAAAGCCACCAACCTCTACAGAGTAGATGTTTGTCTGTCCAGCAGTGTCCTTCTCAACGTAACCTGTCCAGCCTCGCCTTCTGGGTGGAAATGTCCCAACCACTTTGGTCTTCTCTCCCGCTAACCATTCCACGCTCACCTTCCCAACCTGCATACACTCACCACATCAAAATAAATATTACTTTCTAATCTGATAACCTCATAAGTCATATCATATCAATTATAAGAGAGAATGAATTCAAGAAAGTAAATTTCAAAATATTTGAAGTCTATTTATATATATATATATATATATATATATAGAATAAGAACGAAACAAATATTTCTGGACCATTGAACTTTGGTAGGAAGAAACCAGAAACTAGTAGAATGGACCAGATGACAAGTTCATACTCTAATCAAAATTGGGACAATGTGCTGTAAATTTTACAACAATTTGTAAAAATTTAAAGGTACTTAAATCTCCTACAAAATTTTATGTGAATCAAATTTTTCTCTACACGAATTTTTAATCTATTCCAACATTGTCTAGAATTTCCATTTTCACGGATTTCCCACG